TAGATAAGTGATCCCGTCCTGAGCATATATATATATATCATACTTTCCAGTGTAATGTTCCCTCTTATCAATTAATGCTACTGGATTTGATTTGCAGTTTATTTCTAATCAGTAACTGACTGCAGGTGCCTTAGACAACAATTCGTTTGTAACTCCCGTACTTTGTTGAATGCCACATAAGACTGGAATGTTGACAAAACCATACACTAGAAATTGAAGATTTTTCACCTACGTTAACGTGACTTTTCATCTGCATGATTGAGATCCCTCCCTCCCTTGTTCCTAAATAATACAATTGCTGGCTTAACCTTCAGTATCACTCCAAACTCTTCCTACATAATTTCCTGCGGTGCTAATGCAAATAATGGGAAAGTTTCCTGTACCAGCATCAATATTAATTTCATTGTTGACAATTTCAGAAAATCCGCTCCTAGATAGGAAACCCTTAACCTGTTTTCTTTCTCTAACATAAAAAAACCGGCCTCTAAGAAACCAGGCCAAGGCCCGGTTTCACATCTGTTCTGTGAAACTGACAACTATATAATTTTAAATCTTATTAAGTTCCTCGAGTCGTCTTACCTTTGGAGTGAACTGCTGCCTCCATACAGCACTCATCCTCCAGAGGTGTTGAAGACATTAATTGTTTTCATGAGAGATAGACAGTGCCAAAAGTCAAATGTCTTCCTGAATGTACAGGATGAATACTTCTTAAAGCTTCTATCTTCCTTAGTTCCTCCTGTGGAGCAATCCGTCCTCAGACCAATCCATCCAATGATTGACCCCAAAGATGCATTCATAAATTTTAATATTCTGATCATTCAAAGCAGGAATTTTCTCAAAAATAAATTAGTATTATATATTAGCATATTGTGCACATACAGGCATTGGTTAGGTTACGTATTTAGGGTCTGTTGACAATTGTTTGTAATTGTAGTACGTGCAACCCGTCCTCGATTCAAGTCCATTACATCCAGCGGTCAACCCCACAGACGCATTCATAAATTTTAACATACTGTTCATTCAAAACAGGAATTTTCTCCAATATAAATTAATATTATAATATATTAGCATATTGTGCATATATTAGCATATTGTGCATAGGTTAGGTTAGTTTAGGTGTATAGGTTCTTTTGGCCATTATTTGTATTTGTAGTACGTGGGTGAAGCATTTACTGTCTAGTGGTTCGAACAAAATTCGTCAGTGAAGCACTTATTCTGGAAGTGTTCGAACGAATTCAATTGTGTATCGTGTGTAAACCGTTTTCGTTCATAAACCATCCCGTCCTCCAAACAAAGATCCAAAAGTGATTCCATGCACCTGCCAAACCCCCTGTTTATGAATGAAAAGCGGTTTACACACGACTCACAACTGCTGACGTTCGAACATATCCGGAACAAGTGCTTCACTGACGAATTTTGTTCGAACCACAACGCTATAAATGCTTCACCCACGTACTACAAATACAAATAATCGCCAACAGAACCTAAACACCTAACCTAACCTAACCTATGCCTATATATGCACAATATGCTAATATATTATAATATTAATTTATACTTGAGAAAATTCCCGTTTTGAATGAACAGCAAGTTAAAATTTATGAATGCGTCTGTGGGGTCGACCGCTGGATGTAATGGACTTGAGTCGAGGACGGGTTACATAAACAGAAGGTTTTGGCGGGTGCATGGAATCACTGTTGGGTCTTTATTTGGGGGACGGGCTGATTACGTGGGTGAAGCATTTACAGCATTGTGGTTCGAAAAAAAAATCTTCAGCGAAGCACTTGTTCGAAAACTATTGGAACATCCAGCCCATCCTCCAAACAAAACAGCCCGTCCTCCAAACAAAGCAGCCCGTCCTCCAAACAAAGATCCAAAAGTGATTCCATGCACCCGCCAAACCCCCTGTTTATGAGCGAAAAGCGGTTTACACACGACTCACAACTGCTGACGTTCGAACATATCCGGAACAAGTGCTTCACTGACGAATTTTGTTCGAACCACAACGCTGTAAATGCTTCACCCACGTTCTATAAATACAAATAATCGCCAACAGAACCTAAACACCTGACCTAACCTAACCTATGCCTATTTATACAAAATATGCTAATATATTATAATATTAATTTATACTTGAGAAAATTCCCGTTTTGAATGAACAGCATGTTAAAATTTATGAATGCGTCTGTGGGGTTGACTGCTGAATGCAATGGACTTGAGTCGAGGACAGGTTGAACAAAGACTCAAAAGTGATTCCAAGCACCCGCCAAACCCCCTGTTTATGAATGAAAAACGGTTTACACACGACTCACAACTAATTACGTCCGAACACTTTCGGAACAACTGTTTCGCTGACGACTTTTGTTCGAACTACAACGCTGTAAATGCTTCACACACGTACTACAAATACAAATAATCGCCAACGGAACCTAAACACGTAACCTAACCTAACCTATGCCTATATATGCACAATATGCTAATATATTATAATATTAATTTAAGTTTCAGAAAATTCCTATTTTGAATGAACAGCATGTTCAAATTTCTGAATGCGTCTGTGGGGTCGACCGCTGGATGTAATGGACATGAGTCGAGGACGGGTTGGAACATCATCAGTTGTGAGTCGTGTGCAACAACAACCCGTCCTCTTCTCTAGTCCATTACATCCAGCGGTCGACCCCACAGATGCATTCATAAATTTTAAAATGCTGCTCATTCAAAACGGGAATTTTCTAATATATAAATTAATATTATTAATATATTAGTATATTGTGCATATATAGGCATAGGATATGTTAGGTTAGGTTAGGTTAGGTGTTTAGGTTCTGTTGGAAGTTATTTGCATTTGAAGTACGTGGGTGAAGCCTTTACAGCTTTGTGGTTTGAACAAAACTCGTCAGCGAATCACTTGTTTCGGAAGTGTTCAAACGAAATCAGTTGTGAGTCGTGTGTAAACCGTTTTTCATTCATAAAATGGGGGTTTGGCAGGTGCATGGCCAACCCGTTCTCGCATACAAAGATCCAAGCTCGTTAATCTAGCCGCCAAACCCCCTGTTTATGAATGAAAAGCGGTTTACACACGACTCACAACTGATGACGTCCGAACACTTCCGGAACAAGTGCTTTGCTCATCTCTGTTCGAACCACAATTCTGTAAATGCAGCAGCCCGTCCTCCAAACAAAGATTCAAAAGTGATTCCATGCACACGCCAAACCCCCTGTTTATGAAGGAAAAGCGGTTTACACACAACTCACAACTGCTGACGTTCGAACATATCCGGAACAAGTGCTTCACTGACGAATTTTGTTCGAATCACAACGCTATAAATGCTTCACCCACGTACTACAAATACAAATAATCACCAACAAAACCTAAACACCTAACCTAACCTAACCTACGCCTAACTATACATCGATTTTTTATGTATAATAATATTAATTTTTATATGAGAACAAACAAATTTTTAATACACAGCATATTAAAATTGATGAATGCGTCTGGAGAGGACGGCCGCTACTTTAAACAGCCTAGTGTGAGAACGGGTTGGCATGGAATGAACTTTGGGTCTTTGTTTATAAGGAAGGGCTGTGTGGAGACACGTTGCTTCATCCTCCCAAGTTGATCATGCAGAAAGTCAACATCAGAGCACCACACAGTTCCACTCAATATCGCGTAAAGATTTCCATTATGGAAAGATCAGAGATCACAAGTAACACGACGTAGATTTTACTTGCCAGCTACATCTTCGGTTGACGGTTGCTCCTGACCCGCCCTGACAGTTGCTCGTGACCCGCCTAGCTGACAGTTGTTCGCGACCCGCCTAGGTGACAGTTGCTCGTGACCCGCCTAGGTGACAGTTGCTCGTGACCCGCCTAGGTGACAGTTGCTCGTGACCCGCCTAGCTGACAGTTGCTCGTGACCCGCCTAACTGACAGTTGCTCGTGACCCGCCTAGCTGACAGTTGCTCGTGACCCGCCTAGCTGACAGTTGCTCGTGACCCGCCTAGCTGACAGTTGTTCGTGACCTGCCTAGCTGACAGTTGTTTTTGACCCGCCTAACTGACAGTTGCTCGTGACCCGCCTAGCTGACAGTTGCTCGTGACCCGCCTAGCTGACAGTTGCTCGTGACCCGCCTAGCTGACAGTTGCTCGTGACCCGCCAAGCTGACAGTTGCTCGTGACCCGCCTAGTTGACAGTTGCTCGTGACCCGCCTAGCTGACAGTTGTTCGTGACTCGCCTAGCTGACAGTTGCTCGTGACCTGCCTAGCTGACAGTTGCTCGTGACCCGCCTAGCTGACAGTTGTTCGCGACACGCCTAGCTGACAGTTGCTCGTGACCTGCCTAGCTGACAGTTGCTCGTGACCCGCCTAGCTGACAGTTGTTCGCGACACGCCTAGCTGACAGTTGCTCGTGACCCGCCTAGCTGACAGTTGTTCGTGACCCGCCTAGCTGACAGTTGCTCGTGACCTGCCTAGCTGACAGTTGCTCGTGACCCGCCTAGCTGACAGTTGTTCGCGACACGCCTAGCTGACAGTTGCTCGTGACCCGCCTAGCTGACAGTTGCTCGTGACCCGCCTAGCTGACAGTTGTTCGCGACCCGCCTAGCTGACAATTGTTCGCGACACGCCTAGCTGACAGTTGCTCGTGACCTGCCTAGCTGACAGTTGCTCGTGACCCGCCTAGCTGACAGTTGTTCGCGACACGCCTAACTGACAGTTGCTCGTGACCCGCCTAGCTGACAGTTGCTCGTGACCTGCCTAGCTGACAGTTGCTCGTGACCCGCCTAGCTGACAGTTGCTCGTAACCTAAGCTAGTGGTTGTCGTGGTTGTTTGTCTGCTGGGAAAGGTCATCAATTTGTATCGAGGTCTTGGGTGACCTCGATAAGCCTGACCCTCTTCCTGTCTCTGACTCACGAACTCAACTAGGAAATCGTAATTTATACCCGGATATGAAGTAATAATGTCATATTTTCATGTTGGTGGTGTGTGTTGTATTACAGACATCGTGCTGCCCGCCCCTACCAACCTCAGGGTTACAGAAACCACTCTACAATACATCGACTTGGAGTGGCAAGTGAGTTAGACGAAGCTTTTGTGTTAATAAATTATATGTTGACGGACAAATAATTCGAGATTTTGTGAAAAAAATTACCATTTTGTAAGTTCATATCCAATTCTCATTCCAAAACTTCTTATCCGTCAAATATTAAGATAAAACCTGTGTGGATGGGCGGGATATGTCAGTGAGGAAATATATAATATATTATCCTTGTTTTTATCTCATCGCATCTAGATTAATTCCTATGTTATGCTAATAAAATAATTTCAGCCCTTCAGTGTTGCACCGTAACATTTTCGCGATGCCTGAAATCATCGTCGGAAGATTTGTACTTGGTTCCTGATTAGTAGTGTCGAGTGTTAATACAATTGTCCGATTGATTGATATAATGATTGTACTCTTGATGTAGATTTTCTTCAGTTTAACGCCTCATGATGACCCCGAAATGATTGAATTTACTATTGCAGTAATCATCTTTTGGTCCACACTCTGACTTAGAATATAGAGTTTAGAATCAGAGGCGGGGAACCAGATCCATCATTCAAAGGCCATTTATGACTTGGTGCAGATTTCATAAGGCCCACATTAAATTATGTACTCTTTACATTCAAATACGTCAGAAATATACTTACAGATAAAGTGTTTCACTAATTTAAATTGTTGTCGAAGATCACATTGAATACAATAACAGGCGGCAAATTTTCCACCTTTGGTTTAAGTAATGATTCTCTAATATTCGAATAGTTTCGTAGCTGAAGACTGACTTAAAGATGTCATTGTCCTTATTTCAGTCTTTGTATTTAACAGTACGATAGCGACGTAACAGACGTTGAGTTCCTGGTGAAGGTATACTACCGTGGAGGAGATTTCGTGAAAGACCAGGTGACCCGGGGTACATCTGTGAGGGTGGGCGACCTGGCCCCCATCACAGACTACAACTTGTCAGTGACAGCCATCAAGTCACTTCCGCGAGGACTCCGGGCTGAGAGCGCCGCCAGCGAGCAGGTATCTGCCAGGACGGGAGGTCAGTTGTTGAATACTCAGCCACTCAATGCAACATCGGTTAAGTTTTATTTTTGTTATAACCAAGAGCGTAAATTACTACTACTGATAGCTCCAGTTGACTTGTGATAGAGCCACCCAGTTGTAACAAATGCTTTGCCGAGCTCCATCATCTTGGGTCTTATCTAATCCAGAAATTTGTTCTTGCATTGTACAAAAAAAAATTGTGCAAGAAAATATTATGGAACAGATTTAACGCCTACCAATATGAGACAGAAGATTTTGTTTAAACTGATTATATGTAGTTAAGACCAAAATCTGAGCAATTTATGTGTGCTAATATGCATTTAATTATTACTTAATATAAATGAACTATTATTTTCCATATGTACACTTTATTTGTGCTGATTCTGTTCCGGATTTAAAGATTCTTGCAATTGTTTGCCAAGAGTGAAGGGGTTCCAAAAGACCAGGTAAAGTATTAATATATGTTGGCCAGCAATGACAGCTCTACACGAGATCAACTGTGACCGGCAATAGAGAATAAAAAAATGAGTTTGTATAATTTAATTATTATTTCCAGTGATGCCAACACAACGAACAACCACCCGACCAACTGCACCAAGCACCTCACCACAACCTGCTACCACACCGACATCTACCACTTCTTTGCCATTCCGCCCAGCCACCGATCCTGTAGTTGCTAGTTGTGGAGAGGACGGCATGTGCTCCTGTCCTCCTCCTAATGAGCACTTCTGTGTATCCTGCAGCAGAATTAACTCTTGTGAAAAACTTAGTAAGTGTTTTAATAGTTTTGGATGCATAATAGAGCTCCTAATATTTTAATACGGCTTAGTTGTTTTAAAAATTTGAAATCTATATAAATAAAAATGGAAATGTTTAATGTTTGTTCAAAATCGCTAAATTCCGAAAGTCCTTTACCGATTGCTTTGAAATTTTCACACAACGTTCCATTCGCATCCTAGCAGGTTTTTATATACATACTATATAGATGTCGCTTCTGTGACGGTAAAAAACATGCTTTTTCTAAAAAGCTGTGTTTTTCATGTGAGGGAAATCTTCGAAACCTCTTTACTGATTGCTTTGAAATTTTGACACAACGTTGTATTCGAATAGGCGCGTCTTTTTATATATCTACTATATAGATGCCTCATCTGTGACAGGGAATAACATGCTTTTTTCTGAAAAACAGCGCCATCTGTTGGACGTAAGAGCAACACACGATGTGATCTCCGAAAGCTCTTCACCGATTGCTTTGAAATTTTAACACGACGTTGCATTCGAATAGGCGCCTCTTTTTATATACCTACTATATGGATGCCACCCATGTGACAGGTAAAAACATGCGTTTTTGAAAAACAGCGCCATCTGTTACACATAATGGGAAAATGCACTCTATACAAAATATTTCACAAATTCCATTTCAAGGTTTCAGATTGCATAGATAAATTTTATTTTCATAGAGTTCATTTTTTTTAGAATTATTTTGTGTGATATTGTGTTGGAATTGAGCTGTGTTGTTTATCATACCATTCATTTCGTAAGTATAGGTATAGTATAGGTATTTCGGGAGCCGGTCGGCCAAGCGGACAGCATGCTGGACTTGTAATCCTGTGGTCCTGGGTTCGATCCCAGGCGCCGGCGAGAAACAATGGGCAGAGTTTCTTTCACCCTATGCACCTGTTACCTAGCAGTAAAATAGGTACCTGGGAGTTAGTCAGCTGTCACGGCTGCTTCCTGGGGGTGGAGGCCTAATCGAGGACCGGGCCGCGGGACACTAAAACCCCAAAATCATCTCAAGATAACCTCAAGATAGATACCACACCTTTGACAGGTAAACATATGCTTTTCTTGAAAAACAGCGCCATCTGTTGCATGTATGAGCAACACACATGCTATACTAGATATGTTACAATTCCATTTCAATGTTTCTGATTGCAAAGATAAATTGAATTTTCATAGATTTTGATATATTTTCATTTTGATTTAATTATTTTGAGTGAACTGCATTGGAATTGAGCTGGTTTGTTTACCAGACCGTTCATCTCGTGAGTATAGTTCATCTTTATATTTTTTCATATTTTCATTTCATATTTTAAATGTTTTTGTTATATATCAGTGATGGGAACATCAGATCACTTGATGTTCCCAATTTTCTGATGGGAACATCAGACCATTTGGGAAGGCATCGGATGAGGGAGTGGGGAATGATGGGGATGACGAGGGGACAAAGGAGGGCGTAATGGTGGGGTAGGACGAGGGGACGAGGGAGTTTCGGATGGTGGGGACGAGGGGATGGGGGAATGGAGAATGGTGGGGAGGACAAAGGGACAGAGGAGTGGGGAATGGTGGGGAGGACGAGGGGACAGTGGAGTAGGGAATGGTTGGGTGGCTGAAGAGACGGGTGAGGGGGGAAATGGTAGGGAGGACTGGGGGACAGGGATGGTTGCTGTTGCTCAGCAACGTGTATGCGTTGCTGAGCCACAGTAACGCGTGGCTGGGTATTGCTAGTACTAAATATATAAAACAAAATCTATGCAATTCAAATTAACAGTATCGAACTTGATATGCAAAATCATATATGAGGAAATTTATTCACTAATGGCTGAACCTTGAGCAATATCGTATTTCCTGCAGTGTTCCAACACAGGAGAAAGTCACTTCAAACTCGACTTTTTAAAATTTTGTGAACAGCAGGTGGGTGCATGAGGTGACATCTGTTGACATACATGTTTATGATACCATGTTGCACGGTTATCTGAAACTAAAATCGGAAATAAATAAGCTTCCAAAACACTAACATGATGAGAATAAAAAAATGAGTACTGATAAAATCTAGTTAGATTTGCTAAAATGAGTTGTGTTTTCGTCTATGTGAAACAAACCCATAGTGAAACACTTGCAAAGCTATAAGTGGTTAGCTATGAAACTCACCAGTTAGGGACCTTGTGCAATGGTGATTTACAATAATCATAGTATATTTGTTGGCGGGTACGAATTTAATGTACGATATGTAATGGGTTCAACTCATAACACTTTCATTGCCCGTCTACAAAATTATATTAAACTGATTGTAATAATCCAATAGTATTGAATTTAATGGAAATAGTGAAATTAATCATTAAATATATTTAACATTCATGTTCTAATTTAAATATTTAATTTCATTTTTTAAGCCAATGATTTTCTTGGTACTGATGAATGGACAAACAGTTGTTAAGTAAGTATTTATCAAATGAAGGCACCACGCCGGGAAGGCTATGTAGCACCATCAAATGTGTGGAATAATCATAGGGCGCTAAATACCACTAAGGATGCCAATATGAGAAGAAAAATGCATAAGGCGAACGATATCAAAGGTATTCGATTAACCAAGAATTCTATCGAGGGACAAGTGACTACAAAGGACGGTCGGGAAGCAAGACATATGCTCGTTCTTGAAGTCAGGACATTCAACAAAGATATGCATGACTGTAAGAGGGACAATGAAATTAGGACAATAAGGAGCAGGGTGGCGCTCCATTAAGTGCCAGTGAGTTAAATGTGTATGGCCAATACCTAACCTCGCCAGAAACGTTTCCCACCGACGGTTACGGTGGCAGGAGGAAGGCCATAGGGACGCACTAATCTTAAAAGCACGCAGTTTGTTTCCAGCAACAGAAGACCAACAACCATGCCAACGGGCAAGGATGGAGAAATGAATAACTGGGTAAAAGTCGGAATAAGGAATACCTTTACTGGAGATGGGATAAGTGCGGATAGCTTCCTTAGCGGCAGCGTCCACACGTTCATTTAAGGACACGCCAATATGGTTGGGAACCCAGCAAAACTCCTCTGCCTTAAATCTACTTAAATACTACTTGCAACATAAAATCAAAATACAGAGTATGCCCAATGACACAAATTGATATAAATAATTTCAAAATTTTTATAAATTCCTTTTATTGTCCGAATACTATGGGACTTCTTTTAAAATGTGTGCCAGTTTCTGCCCATTCTCTGTATGCCACACTTTTGATAGTAGGATAATTCCGCCTTCTACATTTCTTGTTGGTGCCAGATGCTTTATTCAGGAGTACATTCCTCTCATAGACTTTGCAGTGAGTGCTGGAAATCTAAGCATGATGCCCCTCAAATGCACAAGTGCAGTGTCTTTCTATGCCCCATGTGCGGGGACTCGGGTCATTCTAAGATGGAGTGCTCTTCTTACCCAGGCTCACTATCTCTACTGCGGTGATGGCCACCCTACTTTCTCCCACGCATGTATACACTACAAATTTGAGGAAGCTATCCTCAGTTTGAAGCACCCCGAATGTTTGTTCATGTCTTGAGGTGAGACGCCAAGTTCGCCGTCTCTTCTTTGTTGTTGTTGTTTTAGATTTAGCTACTCAGAACGAAATGTCTATGTATCACGGGCTATGGTGAGCCTGTGATTGAGTTCGGTTATTCGCGATAACATTGTTACTCTGATATTTGGGTCAGGGTTTTAAATAGAGGTGGGGTTTCCTCCTTTTTCTCTTGTTTCTTTGTCGCTTCTCTTTTAGTGCACTGGTTTTAGTCTTGTTTCAATAATATTATCATGGTGGTGGACTAAGATGCAGGATGTTCACTGGTGAGTCCCATTCTTCAACGGCTTTTCTAATCACAGTAGTCGCTGAGGAATGTGCATCTATTACAGCTGCTGTCGTTGGATTAATGTTGAGATTGATGCGCAGGGCTTCAGTAGCTTCACATTCCAGTAAGTAGTGGAATAGTGGCGTCTCTGCCTCTGTTCTACAGATGACACTCTTTAACTATTCGGTTTATTATCTCCCAGCAGCACTTGTATCCAAGTCTGAGTCTGTGTATGGCTACTGCAATGTCACTGGATGTCTTTTTGTCAGGCTTGAAAGAGTAGTACCCAGTGGCTTGTTTGTACTATATCGCAGTGGATCTTCCTTCCGCTACTTTGGCTCTGTGACGGCATTTGATAGTTGGGAGTATTTTCTTCCTGATTTGTTCCTTAATATGTGAAAAACGTGGAGGTATCTGAACCTGTACAACAGGTTGAGCAGTGGCAGTATTTACTAGTGAGTCTGCCTTATCATTACCATCTATGCCAATGTGACTTCATATCCAATTTAGGGTGATTTACAGCCCTAGATTATGGGCTTCTTTTCCTATATGCTGGATTTCTGTGAGGCATTGTATATTATCTCTGTGCTGACTGGATAGCAATGCCTGGAGCGAAGATTTAGAGTCGGTATGAATCATGACATCATGTAAATTATTCTCAATTGTATAGTTTATGGCCTCCTTCAGGGCATATAATTCTGTTTGCAATGTTGAGCACCCACTATTCATGCTCCAGTAAGCTTCATGGTTGTTAGTGTGAATTGCTGCCCCAGCAGAACCTCTTTCTTGATCAACTGATCCATCTGTAAAGATGTGAGTCGTTGTAGGCCTTGAGATGTTTTTCATTTGTCGTTTTATGACTGCTTTGAGCCTCTGCGAGACACAGGCTGATTTTTTAACTGGTAATCCTTCAATGACTATCTTTAGACTCGATTCTTCCCATGGAGGAGGCTGCCAAAAGTGTTGGTATGGTTTATCTTTTCCTTTGTTTTTCTTGGTCCATTTCAAGTCCACTTTCTCTAGAATCTTCACTAGATTATCCGTCCATGCACTTGTTCTATATTGAAGGTTTCTCTGAAGCGATCTGTATATGATATCTTTGACAGTCTGGCAGTGGCTCCACAAGTTTTGCTGTTATGGTGGCTATCCTTTGTTTAATCCTGTTTTCTAAGGCTGGTAAGTTGGTTTCCATTCGTAGCTTCTCTCGACGTGTCCTTATTGGGGCTCCCAACATTGTTCTGAGGGCATCATTTTGAGACACTTCCAGTTTCTCCCATTGGTTATCACTGAGGGATGTAAGATCAGGAGCAGCATAGCCAATGAGTGAGCTAACTGCTTGAACATAATACATTTTGAGTATTGATGGAGATGCATCATCTCTAAGACTTCTCAGGGAGCGCAAAGCTGAGTTTCTAGCTTTATAACGTTGCCGAAGATATTCAATTTCTTGAGTGAATTTCAACTAGCTGTCTATTTTAACTTCTAGGAATTGAAAAGAGGTAATCCACTCAATTTCATGACCTTGTATTGTGAGCCTGATATCTTTAGTTCCTATTTTAACGACCATTGCTTTGTTTTTATTGTTGTTTATTTTCACTGCTGTGCATTCCGCTTCCCTGTGTCTCTTCTCTTTCGCTAGCATATTTTAAGCTCGTGTGTTGCGCTCCACCTCTACTCTCCCTTCCCTGCTTTCTCAGTCTCACAACCGTTTCCAGGCCTTAGACTCGGACATTCCCACAGCCTCCTCCCCTGTTCCTTTACATTCTGAACCAAGGGGTCCTCCTCCTGGTTCTCCATCTGGTCTTTCCCTCCTTCCTTCCCTGCCTACCATGTCGCCTTTCTCATCTCCCCCCGATCCTTCTTCTCAGCCCACCCCCCTGTCTCTTGACTCTCCATGCCACCTGCCTGTCCAGGCTGCTGTCCATCATCCTCCCAGCAGTGTTCATGTTGTTCGCCCCCGTTCTCCTTCTCCTGTTGAGACAATATAGACTGTCGCATTAAAATGTTGCTGCCACACCTGTCTCCTGGCTGTGTAAGCCTGGCTGCTCTCCTTCTTCCTCCCCTGCCGGTAGGAAAGCATCACTTTCTCCCCCACCCTCCACCTCCGACTCTATCACTGCATCCCCCTCCCATTTCGGTGGTCGGGCCCCCTGTCCCAGCTGTGGAGGTTCCTCTACCCCTCGATTCTCTCTCGGTCGCTGCCCTTGCTGAGGTGCGCTCCCTGCGTTTCTGCCTCCCCCTCCATCTGCTTCCCTTGACCGCCCCTCTCCATTGCCTCCTCTTGCTCCAGACCCTGTCCGTCTGCCTCTGGTCCGTCCTCCAGCTCCCTTAAATCCATCGTCCTTGATAAATTTACGCATTGCCCTCTAACCCTAATTTCATCGATCATGATCTTTAGTATGCTGTTTTCTTCTTTGCCTTTGTTTTTTCATTGTTCTCTGTTGCTGTTCTCTCTCCTTTTGGCAATGTCTATTCCTCAATGGAATATTTGTGGATTTTATGCCAACTTCCATGAACTCCAGTTTCTGATAACTCAGTTTACACTGCTTTGTGTGCGTCTCCAGGAGCCGATGTTTGGTGCTCGTTCTGGTCACTTTCAAGGGTTTTCCTTTCTCTCCCCTACCTCCAGCTTTTGCTGGGGCCCATATCTTTAGTGATCTCTTGATTCGTACTGATATTACCTTCGTCCCCCTACTTTTTCAGTCGCCTATCCAATGTTCTGCAGCCTGAATCTTTGTAAGTAAATGGTATACGGTCTGTTCCATTTATCTCTCTCCAAATGTCCCACTTTCTCTTCCTGATCTTAAGCACCTGTTTACCTACTTACCAATATCACCCAACAGGAGCCCAACACCCAACTCAACAAATCACCCAACAGGAGCCTCTGCTCCTGTTGGGTGATTTCAACTGTCGGCATACCCTCTTGGGTAATGTTCGGACAAACACCAGAGGCTGCTTTCTAGAACCATTTGTCCTCTCCTCTTCCCTGTCTCTTCTGAATTCTGGTGTACCCACTCATGTGGACTCCCGCACTCGCTCCCTCTCCTGTCTTGATCTTTCTCTCTGTGCGTCATCTCTTTACTTATATTTCACGTCCTGTCCCCATTCTACTTGAGGAGCAGATTGGCACACTCTCCTCAGTTTACATTCCTCTCTCGTACTGTCTAAACTTGATAATGGTTGCCCTAATTACTCGTCTGTTTCTCCTTCTACTTTTTGCCATCTTGATGCTCTGCACCATACTGGGTTATGCCTCCGTTCTGGTGCCTTTCGTTCAACTCCTACTCTAAGTCTGTATGTTGAAACTGGCGTCCTGTCTCTCTAGGACCACCGTTCGCTACTGTCTTCGCTACGTTGTGCGGTCCTTACAACACTCTCACTCTCGCCTATGTCGTGTTTTGACTTTTGCCCCTCCTGTACTCCCTATGCTCTTTCACCACTTCCTTCTTTCTGTACGGATGTCTCGCCTACAAAATTCTCTTTCGGTTAGTATTACCAATATTTCTCCTTGTGCCGTTCCGTCCTTGCACCTGTGGATGGTCCCACATCCTAAAGTTTATAAAACTTTGATCCACCTCGACCTAAAGCTATTACCCATTCTACAGTTCTGAAACACCTTTTCCTTTAACACTTTTCTTCACACTCCGCTCCATTTCCGTCTTCACCGATGAGTCTGACTCTGTGTAGGCTGCTCTTTTATTTTTCCTGACCACACTTTGTGTCGCCTGCCTCTGGAGACTAGCATCTTCACGGCAGAACTTTATGTTATTCTGTATGCTCTTCGGCAACTGCTTTTTTGCTGTCAATCCTCCTTTGTTGTTGTAGTTGACTCTCGCAGTATCCTTATGGCTCTGGAGTCCTTTAATCCAGTCCATCCGGTGGCAGTCAAGATTCAACATTGGCTGTTTCTTATCTACAGTAGATTTAAGACAGTGGAGTTTCGCTGGGTTCCCAGCCATATTGCTGTGTTCTTAAATGAACGTGTGGACGCTGCCGCTAAGGAGGCTATCCGCACTTGTCCTATCTCCCGTAAGGGTATTCCTTATTTCGACTCTTACCCAGTTATTCATTTCTCCATCCTTGCCCGTTGGCAGGGTTGTTGGTCTTCTGTTGCTGGGAACAAACTGCGTGCTCTTAAGATTAGTGCGTCCCTATGGCCTTCCTCCTTCCACCGTAACCGTCGGTGGGAAACAGTTCTGGCGAGGTTACGTATTGGCCATACACATTTAACTCACAGGCACGGTAATAAATGGAGTGCCGCCCGGCTCCTTATTGTCAAAATTGCATTGTCCCTCTTACGGTCATGCATATCTTTGTTGAATTTCCTGATTTCATCAATGAGCATATGTCTTGCTTCCCGACCGTCTTTGTAGTCACTTGTCCCTCGATAGAATTCTTGGTTAATCGGATACATTTGATATCGTTCGCCTTGTGCATTTTTGTTCTCATATTGGCATCCTTAGTGATATTTAGCGCCCTATGATTATTCCACACATTTGATGGTGCTACATTGCCTTCCCGGCGTGGTGCCTTCATTTGATAAATGCTTACTTAACAACTGTTTGTCCCTTCATCAGTATAAAGAAAATCATTGGCTTAAAAAATGAAACTAAAAATTTACATCTGAACATGCCTATTAAATATATTTAATGATTAATTTCACTTTCCATTAAATTCAATATTATTGGATTATTGCTATTAGTTTAATATAGTTTTATAAACGGATACGGAAAATAAATATTCTACATATAAAATACTTGTGAATGATGCTTCATCTTTGTAGCCTTGTCTGTAACTGGCCTATATTTTCTATTGAAATCATTATACATGACATTTCTTATTCAAAGTCAAAATTTATTAGTGCAGGATTGATTCTCTTTGATACATATAATTTAAAGAAAAAGAAAATTTGCAGTGTTGAATAAGAAAGTGTTTGATTGCTGCTACAAAACTTTTACAATACTCATGTCACAAAACCTATTAGATCTTCACATTTGTTCACTGTGTTGAGATTTTTGTTATTAAAAAAATCATTATTGTATTTTATCATAAGGTTATCTGCTGGTGAACTCTCAATCCAGCCACTGCACAACAGCTGGGCATCACAGGCACTAAGCACATATTATTGCTACTTTCCAACCCCCGAACCCCAGCCAAAAATCTCCAACTCTTAACGTCCTCCACCAATAAACCATCACTTACGTGTTTGTTGAATAAGTTTAAACGTTTTTACAGGTCTTTCTGTTCATTTGTTATTTCATTTGTAGCCACCATGTGGCCGGTGCGTTTGATATCATAGTTTAGAAAAGACTTTAATATATGCCTTTCAATAAGTATATTTTTTTTACCTTCTGAGCAGTTATTACTGGAAGGTGAGTAACCTACATTATTTCTCTTTGATACACATTAAAATACTATATTCCCACAGACGATGAGGACGTGTGCAGCCGGGCACCAGAGAGTGAAGAGATCAACATGACTATCAGTATCCTCTCTTGCGGCGCCAAGACCATTGTGTAGGTGCCACACTTTTCTCTTTGCTTTTGATTTAGTTTTTATTCTGTATTCATTTAATGCCATCATTACCCTGTTAGCCATTTTCAGAAGATAGAGAAGGGGAAAGGAATAAAATAACCAGGAGAAAGCGACAAACCAATACGACTTTTGAATACTTCGAAGGGATCAGGATAATGATTTGGGATCGGACCGGGAGCCCAAAAGGTTGGGTATCTTCCCAGTGTCTGAGTAGCTGAGCTATCTTAAGGTTGGAGAAGCACATTAAAAGTGAAAAATATAGTGAAAGGATGTTATAGATCATTTTAAATAAAAATCTCTCTCATGCATTATATCGTTTACAAAATACAGCATCACTGATAAACAAACACTAACACAATCTAGCAGTTACCAAAACCCCAGCGGTGCAGATGACCAGTTGTCCGGATTCTCGTTAATTGTAATATACATTACGCTGTAATACTTCCCACCCTTTTTCTAAACCACGTTCTGCCAGTATTATTGATCATCCGCAGCTCCTTCTACACTCAAATTCCAACTCGTGCACACTGTCTACCAGTCTACGGTCATACATTTTATTAGAATTAATAGAATCTATATGAATAAAAACGGAAATGTTAGTTTGTTCAAAATCGCTAATCTCCAAAAGTTCTTCACCGGTTGCTTTGAAATTTTCACACAACGTTCCATTCACATCCGAGCAGGTTTTTATATATATATATACTATATAGATGTCACGTCTGTGATGGTAAAAAACATGCTTTTCTGAGAAACTGTGTTTTTCATGTGTTTTTCATGTGAAGGGAAATCTTCGAAACTCTTTACCGATTGCTTTGAAATTTTGACACAACGTTGTATTCGAATAGGTGCGTCTTTTTATATATCTACTATATACATGCCTCACCTGTGACAAGAAAAAAACATGCTACTTTTGAAAAACAGCGCCATGTGTTGCACATAATGGCAACATGTATGTTATACTAAATATGTCACGAATTCCATTTCAATGTTTCCGATTGCATTGATAAATTATATTTTCATAGATTTCAATTTATTTTATTTTTTAGTGAATTATTTTGTGTGATATTGTGTTGAAATTGAGCTGTGTTGTTTACCATACCATTCATTTCGTAAATATAAGTATAGATGCCACTACTGTGACAGGTAAAACTATGCCCATCTTGAAAAATAGCGCCATCTGTTGCATGTAAGAGCAACACACATGATATACTTTGTTATGTTACAATTCCATTTCAATGTTTCTGATTGCATTGATAAATTGAATTTTCATAGATTTTGATTTATTTTCATTTTAATTTAATTATTTTGTGTGAATTGCATTGGAATTGAGCTGTTTTGTTTACCAGACTGTACATTTCGTGAGTATAGTTTATTTTTATATTTATTCATATTTTCATTTCACTTTTTAACTGTTTTTCTTATATTTCAGTGATGGGAACATCAGATCACTTGATGTTCCCAATTTTCTAATGGGAACATCAGACCATTTGGGAAGGCACCGGAAGTGGGAGTGGGAAATGGTGGAGATTACGGGGGGACGGAAGTGAGAGATGGTGTGGAGGACGAGGGGACAAGAGAGGGGGTAAAGGTGGGGAAGGACGAGGGGACGGGGGAGTTTAGGATGGTGGGGACGAGGAGATGGGGGAATGGAGAATGGTGGGGAGGACAAAGGGGACAGGGGAGTGGGGCATGGTGGGAAAGAAGAGGGGATGGTGGAGTGGGGAGGACGAGGGGACTGTAGAGTTGGGAATGGTAGGGAGGCCGAGGAGACGGGTGAGGAGGTGGTGAGGACTGGGGGGACAGGGAAGGTTGCTGTGGCTCAGCAACGCACATGCGTTGCTGAGCCACAGCAACGCGTGGCCAGGTACTGCTAGTTAAAAAAAAAACTAGGAATGTCGAGACAAAATATTTTTTTTAGAATTGGTTTATAATTATTTTCTAAGCATATCATCATCATGGGTGACGCCTTGTCATGGTTAGGGGGAACTTTTATGTGCTGTTCTCGGGCGGGTACATGAGTAGGGGGGGGGGAGACTGTCCCCATCTCTTTCCTGTTAGGACGGTTTAGGGACGTAAACGTCCACATCACTGGATCAACTATTAAGAACGGGTTTCCTGTATAATTGGTTTTAGGTGTCCAGGCTGGGTCTTTGCATCCTTGTGGGTGAAGGATTGATATCCCTGTTGTCAGGGCTCCCTGACAACAAGGAAGTCAGTAGTCTTCCTTGTTGAGAACGAGGACCATCGATTGGGATGACGCAGCCATGCAATCCTGGGGCGGTCTTACAGACAAATCCCAGTATCCAATTTGCTTCATTGTATTCACACAGTTGTATTCACCTAGTTGTGCTGGCGGGGTTGAGGTCTGCACTCTTTCGGCCAGCCTCTCAACTGTCAATCAATCAATTGTTACTAACTACTAACTAACTACTCCCCTCTCCCCCCCCCCACACACATACACACACCCCAGGAAGCAGCCCGTAACAGCCGTCTAACTCCCAGGTACCTATTTACTGCTAGGTAAGAGGGGCATCAGGATGAAAGAAACTCTGCCCATTGTTCCTCGCCGGCGCCGGAAATCGAACCTGGACCACAGCATTACGTGTCCAGCGTACTGTCCACACAGCCACGGCTCCCCGAGTGTCATTGTGCTCCTGATGCCTTGATTTTTAATTTTTTGTTTGTATTACAGAAGCTTAAAACGCATACATTGCTCAACATTAATCTGCATCTGCTAATCTTTTGTCCATTCTTAACTATGAACATATTTTCCGTTTTGCTGTTGTATCATGTGCAAGTTTTGGAAATGTTGCTCCTTCATCCTGTATGTAAATGTTTTATATACATATAAATATGTAGAATTAAGATATATTAATATATAATTAAGAACTCTATTCACCCGCCCAGGATACGAATCCATGTCGCCCAGGATCACACCCAATCGAATACCACCACCTCACCAATGATCCTCTATAAGGATTGGCTAGTTATGGAACTTATTAATTAAGCTCTATTACTAACCAACTATGGGCTCACTATAGCCCATGCTACATGGACATTTCGTTCTGAGTAGCTACATACAAAACATACTAACCAACCCCCAACGATACTCATGGTACAATTTAGGTAGAGTTTTTAAGAAAATTCCCCCTTCCTGTCCGGCCCGTTGTTGCCATGATGGGGCTTGGTGGGCAGCTGCCGGAGTGTGATGCTCCATGGGACAGTCCTGTGTCCTTTTGTGGCCTTATGCTCCTGCTGCTGTTCTCACGAATTCTGCTGGACGACTTTTCCTTTTTCTTTTGTTTTGTTTTTCTCCCCCTTCCTTCTCCTTTCTAATTGTCATTTCCCACCGACCTTTTGCCTGTTTTGATTCTTGTTTCGGCCTTCTTTTGTTTTGACGCCCGGGTGTTTGAGGAGGCATACTCTTGCACCCATAGAACTGTAGTACCCAATGTCTCGAGTGAAGGGGAACCTTTTATATCCTTTTCAATCCTCCTTTCATCACCGAACTCGATCTCGACGGACTGACGGTTCTTAAGGTGGTGTTTATGGGGCGTATACTCACAACGCACCCCTAGGGGACCCTGGCCAGATCAGCAACATGTCTCTTGTTTGGTGTCTTGCCTCTAATTGTGGCAGAACACAATTGTGGTGGGTGTGGGGGTACATTTATGAATAAAAGTCTGACCTTTCGTCCTTATGTCGAATTCTGTTCCTCTTATACCTTCTCGGGCTAGTGGAGTGGGCGACCAAGCCTCCAAGTCGGACCCTGTTGGAAGACTGGGCTCTATAGCCCCCGCTGCATTTGGCCCCGACTTTGCTCCTCCTTTGACCATTCTGACTACTCCCCTAGGCTCCCCTCCCTCTTTTGTGGTTGGGTCGAGCCTCAAGCCCCAAGTGCTGACCATCTCGTCCCCTGGCAGGGCTCAGTCTCTCATTGTGACTACTGCGCCTTTTAACCCCCTCTTTCTCTCTGGGGGTTCTCAATGCCGTCCTCGCCACAGCCGCACTTGCTCGATCCCTTCCTGTTCTGATGCGTACCAGGCATTGTTTAGTTCCGCTTCGTGGGCCAAATACTTCGATCTCCTCCCTCTGGATTCTATGCCTCCTGACGATTTTTCCCTCCATAGGTACCTTGTTGATCCAGTAGATGCCTCTGATATTTTCAACCCCACCCATCTTGGAACACGTGTCATTGCTGCGGGTGGCTGCAGGATGCAGCCACCCGCTTGGCCACCTCATCCTACCTTATCGAGACTCCTGTTCGGGTCTCCAAGAACGTTCGGCTGAATGCCAGTGTTGGCACTATTCTCCTCCCACTCCATGTTGCAACCGGTGTTAAGAATCTGCAGGACTGCCACGAAGATATTCGGCATATCCTCGAAGCTCAGGGCCATTTTGTCCTCCAGGTCAACACGTTTACTCGTCCCCCTCGTGGTCGTCGCCGTCAACCCTTTCGGGTTGTGAAGATTACCTATGATAGTAGGTCCCTTCCACCCTCTGTCATTCTTGCTGGTGCCAGGTGCTCTGTCCAGGAGAACATCCCTTCTCCTCGGCTATGTAATAAGTGCTGGAGGTTTGGGCATGGTACCCTCCGGTGCTCCAGTACTGTCTCTCTCTGTCCCTTGTGTGGGGACGAAGGTCACTCTAAGTCGGAGTTCACTTCTCCCCGGGCTCACTGCCTCAATTGCAGTGAGGCCCATCCTACCTTCTCCCGCACGTGTGTACATTTCAAACTTGAGGCAGCCGTTCTCACCTTGAAGCACCGGGAACGTTTGTCTTTTCCTGAGGCGAGGCGCCAAGTCCGCCATCTCGCCCCTTTCACTAGTTTCTCTTCTGTTCGAGTGTTGCGCTCTTCCTCTCCTCGTCCTTCCCGCCTTCCTCAGTCTCACAACCGTTTCCAGGCCTTAGACCCAGACACGCCCACCGCCTCCTCCTCTGTTCCTGTAAGTTCTGTCCCGAAGGGTCCCTCTCATGGTTCTCTGTCTGGGGTTCCCCTTCTTTCTACCCAGTTTGACTTGTCGTCCTGTGTCTTCTTCTTCGTCTCCCTCCGTTCCTCCTTCCCATCCTTCTCCTCCATCTCTTAGCTCTCCACGCCACCTGTCAGTGCGGGCTGATGTCCATCACTCTCCCAGCGGCCATCGTGTTGTTTGCTCTCGTTCTGCTTCTCCTGTTGAGACGCTTGAATCTGTTGCCCAGTACATTGTTGCTGGGACGCCTGTCTCTTTGAGTCAAAAGCGAAAGCCTGGCTCCTCTCCTTCCTCCTCCTCGGCGGGTAAGAAGGCTTTGCTTTCTTCCTCACCCCCTACCTCTGACTCTCTCGCTCCATCCCCTTCCGCTTCGGTGGTTTTGCCCCCTGTTCCTGATGGAGGTTTCTTTGGTCCCCGCTTCTCTCTCGGTTGCTGCCCTTGTTGAGGTGCACTCCCTGGTTTCTGCCCCACCTGCTGCTGTCATTAACCCATGGCTATTCTTTTCTTCTGCCTTCCTCCCCCTCCCCCCCCCCCTCCCGGCTTTTGCTGGAGCCCGTTCCTCTTGTGCTCTTATGATTCATTCCGATGTTCTCTTCGTCTCCCTACTTTTTCCGTCGCCTCTCCACTGCTCTGCTGCACGTGACTTTGTGGGTATATGGTACATGGTTTGTTCCATTTACCTCCCCCCAAATGTCCCGCTTTCTCTTCCCGATTTTAAACACCTACTGGACTCCTTGCTAGAGCCTGTGCTCCTGCTGGGTGATTTTAATGGTCAACATACCCTCTTGGGTGATGTTCTTACAAACACCTGGGGTCACCTTCTCGCACCGTTTATCCTCTCTTCTTCCCTGTCTCTTCTGAATTCTGGTGAGCCCACTCATTTGGATTCTCGGACTCACACCCTTTCCTGTCTTGATCTTTCTCTCTTCTCGTCGTCTCTTTACTTGGATTTCGTGTGGCGAGTTCTAGATGACCTCCATGGCAGTGACCATTTCTCCATCCTTGTTACCTTTTCACTTTTCACCCACCCTCTCCTCTCCTTCCCTAGGTGGCAGTTTGCTAGGCAGACTGGACCCTATTTACCCTCCGTGCTGCTCTCTCTGACCTCTCCCTTCTGCCTCTCCCTCGTGCCCATCTCCTTTTTCATGAAACCATCTTCGACGCTGCCCTCCGCTTTATTCCTCGTTCTTCGTCTCAGGGACCACGTAAGTGCTTTCCATGGTGGAATGTGGACTGTACTCGGGTTGTCCGCTGTAAGCTTGCAGCCTGGAAGAGAGACCGCCGCTGGCAGACGGCGGATTATTTTGTTTTGTTTTGGAAGGCGAATGTGGTGGCCCGTAGGGCCATCCGTACAGCTAGGTGTGAATGTTGGAAGTCTTATGTTTCCACTATTACGTTCGAAACTTCTCTGCCGCAGATCTTGAAGCGTGTCTGCAAGATAGCGGGTAAGTTCATTCCCAATGTCTCGCCGGTCCTTCACCTCTGTGGTTCTCTTGTGGCAGATCCGTTCTAGGTCGAGACTGAACTGGGTTCCCACTTTTTTTCTGTTAGCTCTGGTTCTCATCTTCCTCAATCTTTCTGTCTTCGTAAACCTGTCCTTGAAATTAGCCCTTTAGATTTCTGCTTCTCAGGCTTCCCTATAATGATCCCTTCTCTCTCTTTGAATTTCAGTCTGCCCTGGCTTTCAATTCTACTGCGGCGGGCTCCATTGGCATTCATTATGAGATGCTTCGCCATCTCCCTCCGTGCACCTCTCAGTATTTGCTGAGTCTGTATAATCGGATCTGGGAGTCGTCGTCAGTCCCTGAGGACTGGTTCGATGCCGTTGTCCTCCCTGTTTGGAAACCAGGGTCTCTTCAGACATCCCCTAAGGACTTTCGCCCTATTGCCCTCACAAGTTGTGTCTGCAAACTCTTTGAACGTATGGTTAACGTTCGTCTGCTGTGGTTCTTAGAACACTATCACCACCTCTCCCCTTCCCCATATGATTTTCGCAAATGCCGAAGCACAACAGATGTCCTCGTGAACTTGGAGGTCTATATATTTGTACTGCTTTTGCTGCGAAGACCTCAATTGTTGCCATTCTTTTTGACCTCGAAAAGGCTTACGACACCACTTTGCGATATCATATTCTGTCCCAACTTCATTCTTTTGGCCTTTGTGGTAATCTCCCTCTCATTGGCCAAAGCCTCCTTTCTCGTCATTCCTTTCGAGTGAGACTTGGTACTACGCTCTTTGCCTTTTTTCAGCAATATGAGGGTGTGCCCCAAGGTAGTGTTCCGAGTACTACTCTTTTTCTGGTTACCCTCAATGGTCTTCTTTCTTCTCTTCCTTCTGATGTCTTCTCCACTCTCAATGTCGACGATCTTACCCTTTGCTGTCGGGGTCATGATTCGCCTCTCCTTCAACAGCGGCTTCAACTTGCGATTGATGCCGTGTCGTCTTGGGCCACCGATCATGGCTTCCGGTTCTCTAGATCTAAGACTTGTGCTATGACTTTTACTTGGAAGCGTGTCGTTCTTCGTTCCTCTTTGTCGCTTTATAGTCAACCCCTTGTGTAATGGATTCCGCTAAGCTTTTAGGGTTAATCTTTGACACTCGTTTGTCTTGGTCCGCCCATATCTCTTACCTGCGTGTTGAATGCTCTCAGACCCTTACCCTCCTTAAGATTTTGTCCCATACTTCTTGGGGGGCAGATAGGCGCAAGCTCCTCGCTTTACATTCCTCTCTCGTCCTGTCTAAACTCGATTATGGTTGTTTTGCTTAATCGTCTGCTTCTCCTTCTACTCTTCGCCATCTTGATGCTTTGCACCATACTGGGTTGCGCCTCAGCTCTGGTACCTTTCGTTCGACTCCCGTCCTCAGCTTGTATGTTGACACTGGCTTCCTATCTCTCCGGGACCGCCGTGATTGCAACTGTCTTTGCTGTCTTGCGCGGTCCTTGCAACATCCTTCCTCTTGCCTCTGTCGTTCTTTAACTTTTACCCCTCCTGTGGTTGCTGTTCCTCTTCACCACCTCCCTCTTTCTGTCCGGTCCGCTTACAGAATTCTCTTTCAGTTCGTATTCTAATGTATCTCCTCGTGTTGTTCTTTCTTTGCCCCTGTGGAGAGTCCCCCTTCCGAAGATTTGTACATCCTTAACTCGCAGCTCTAAAGCTTTTACTCCTCCTACGGTTCTGAAACGCCTTTTCCTTGAGCACTTTTCTTCGACATCCCACATCGTTTCCATCTTCACTAATGGGTCAAAGTCTGCGGATGGTGTAGGCTACTCTGTTGTTTTTCCTGACAGCACTTATATGTGTCGCCTACCTCTGGAGACTAGCATCTTTACAGCGGAACTTTATGCTATTCTCTACGCTCTTCTTCTCCTGCTTTCTCGTTGTCAGTCTTCCTTTGTAGTTGTTGTTGACTCTGGTAGTGCCCTCATGGCTCTCGAGTCCTTTAATCCGGTCCATCCAGTGGGTGTCGAGATTTAGCATTGGCTGTTTCTTCTTTCCAGTAAATTTAAATTAGTTGAGTTTTACTGGGTTCCCAGTCATTTTGGTATCTCTTTAAATAAGCGTCCGGATGCTGCCGCTAGGGGAAGCTGTCCACTCTTGTCCCATTTTCTGTAAAGGTATTCCTTATTCCGACTTTTACCCAGTTATTCATTCCTCCATCCTTACCCGTTGGCGGGATTGTTGGTCTTCTATTACTGGTAACAAACTCTACTCTAAAGAGTAGTGTGTCCTCATGGCCGTCCTCCTGCCACCGTAACCGGCGATTTGAAACGGCTCTGGCAAGGTTGCGTATTGGCCATACATGCTTAACTCAGTCACTTAATGGAGCGCCGCCCTGCTCCTTATTGTCCAAATTGCATTGTCTCTCTTACGGTCGTGAATATCCTTGTTGAATGTCATGACTTCCAGGACAAGCGTGCGTCTTGTTTTCCGACCGCCCCTCGCGGTCGCTTGTCCCTCAGTAGAATTCTTGGTGACTCGGATACTTTTAATATCGTTCGCCTTATGCGTTTTTGTTCTCGTATTGGCATCCTTGGTGATATTTAACGCCCTCTAATTATTCTGCACATTTGATGGTGCTACATAGCCTTCTGGGTTTGGTGCTTTCTTTTGATAATTACTTACTTACTTTTCAGAAAATTCTGGTTGTTACAACTTTGTGCTTTCTGATACCAATAATATTTTATCTCGACCAGAAATGCGTGATAATTTTTTTTTTTACTTGTGATATGGTTCATATATTAAATATGTTCTATGTCGGCCTATTCTGCTACAACTCAAAATCCTACTAAAGGATTTACTTTATGTTGCACTGAAATTATTTTTACGGTAAAATGAGACGTCACTATTACAAACAATAACTGCCTTTGTCGTACTTTTCAGGAATGTGGAAGGAATAGTACGGAGCAATGGGTAAGTTTACCGCTATATCATTATTATCATATCCACACATTTACACTGTAGATTTAAAATTGTTCTCTTATTCTAAATGCATGAAAATATATTTCAAATCAAAATATAATGATACAGCAAAGTCTTTTTAATAGTAGGAAATATTCTAATATGCAGGTGATTATCAAACATGTGTTTTCTATTTACAAATTATCTTAGTTTATTGGCCAGAATTAGTGCTTTCTTAAAAATCCAGTGTAGTTATATTTTTAAATTGTTGAATTTCTAAAAATAAGAAATATTTAAGAAGATAAATTAGTTTTGACTTATTAGAATTTGAACAGCGATATATTTTCGCAGCAGCTTCCAGATGGACTGAATTTCCCACATGAACAACGCTAATAGAAGTGCTCCCATCCGAGTGTGTGCACAAACTCAATAAAAGTTACACTAATACATTCAGTTTTTCTATATTATTAGATAGCGTTCGACATAGTATCACATAAAAGACTCATATACAAATTCGAAAAAAAATTCGAAAAGCAGTCTGATATAACTGGAGAAGTGCTGGGGATGGAAAGGGAGGATAACGGTGAGACGAAGACAGTGGGAGTGGCGAGTAATAATAAGTGTGTTGCCTTAGGGTTGGTATTGGGACCCTTTACATTTGTCATGAATGCCAGGGACCTGACTGGAGGCATACGATTATTATTATCCTTCATGCGGCTGACGTAAAATTGCCGAGGATAATTAGAAGCGAAGATGACAGTACGGGATGCAGAGGCATCTAGATGATCTCACTGATAAATATAAAGTTATCATTTCGTAAGGGAGAAAGAAGATTCCATGGACAGTGTGAGACGAAAGGTAGGCAGATACTTGAAGTATTGATCGCGAAGGATCTAGAAATATTTATATTATCATATGTCTGCAGCATGGAATACACATCATGAAAAACTAATTTAAAGAAAACAGGAATATGTGACTTAACTTGCAACAGAACTGAGGAAACTCCTCTATAATGAAAGTTGATCGATCTCATTCTCACCACATAAGAAAAAAGTATAATAATTGGCTATGTAATAAAAGCATACAAGATATTACAGGGAAGTCACTGCGGTTGACAAAGAGGTAATTTTTAAAATAAAACGGGTTTGGCCAGATGTATGGGTCAAAGAAGGAGACGTAAATGTGCGGAATAGGTGTCAGGAAAAGTCTGTGTGAGGGACAAAAATAAATGAAACGAACTACAAGAGATCACTATTGAAAATTCATCTAGCACGATCAAAAGAAAATACGAGGATAAAAAGTAATTGAAATCATCTCATTTAATGACCAGGAGATGAGAGGTGGGGCTTCGGAGCTATTGCTCGACTTTTTAAACACAACTAGGGAAGGTATATTAATTATCAAAAGAAAATAGTAAACTCAAAAAGATATATAGCACTGTTTTACAGACTATTCATGTTCCAAGATATAATTCAGAATGCCATTACTACAGAAAGACAACGCGAGTGATAAAGGAATACCTGCTGCAATAAAGCTAATTGTCTCCAGTTATGTCAACCGTTCAAAAAAGCCAGTGCCCCCACCTCAGATTTATGCTGAGGAAGTAATGTAGAGTAACAAATAAATGATGTGTTCAAATGGTTAGGAAAAATTGAAACCCCAAATAAACACATGGTAAATCGGTGAAATTGAGAAACAGCACAAACATTTATTATACAAGCTCAGTTACTTCAACTTGATGCCTTTAATTAAATAATTCAATATACAGGAATTTACACCAAAGGACCCCACGAAGATAACTATGACACTGACATAATTAGAAACAGAGTTATATACTCACAAGGCAACTATCATCCCCGTGAAATAGACCACAAATAATTATCATACTTAGAAATATATTCTCTGTGAAAACTTCACTGAACATCTCTGTATAAATCTATGCTATTAGAGAGAATGCCTGTCTGTCCGGAGTTGGAGGCCACACGGCTGAGGCTTGTCTAACCCACATTAGCAGAGGGAATGATCTGTGGTACGGGATGAACATAGATTGGTCGGGGGGTCACCAGAATTCAAAAGGGAACAGCGTGCCAGGATCACATTAAGGCCCTTGACAATTTTTGGTACCCGCTACTATACCTACGAAAGTATTTTGAAAATAAATCAAAACGTATTTTTTCTAATAATGAATACTCTATTACATTGATCTCATGAAAATTAAAATAAATTTCCTGCAATTTTAACAAATACCATAATCCCATAAAACATGTAAATTATGTTCTGAACCTCCCCTCCGACAGAAAACTGAAAGCCAACTCACAAATTAAAAAAGGGGGGGGGGGGAGGAGGGGCGGGTGCTACCAAATTCTGCGTTAATATTATATAATATTATTAAGACATAGTAACAATTGCTCGTGTTATAGTATTATAAATATTGCTGGATAGAAAGATAGGGAAGCGGGGGTTGTGAAGGAGAGGGAAGGTGTAAGACAAAAGTGGTGGGGGTTGGGGATAGATGGATAGATAAGAGGATAAACAGATAGATGTATAAAGTGATGGATATATGGATGGATAGGGGGATATAGATAGACAGATAGATGGATATATAAATGGATTGAAAATGGATGGATAGATGGATGGAGAGACAGATGATTAAAAGATGGATTGATAAGTTTACCGCTATAAACTATTATTACATCCACACATTTACAATGTAGATTTATCAAAATATAATGATACACCGAAGTATTTTTAATATAACATGGAGAGATTCGTCTATGTAGGTGATGAATAAATAGACGAGTAGATGAATGGATGGATAGACATGCGAGTAGATGGATTAATATATATGTGGATAGAAGGATGGCTAGATAGATAGATGGATAGCTAAGTAGTTGGAAAGAGAGATGGCTGCTCAGATGGATGGATAAAAAGACAGATGGGTGATAGACAAATGGATATACGGATAGACGGGTGATAGATAAATGGATATACGGATAGATGGTTGGATGGATAAATTAATGGGCACATGGATGGATAAATTGATGGACACATGGTTGGATAGATATAGGAATGGACAGATTGTTTAATAAATGGATGGATAGATAAATGGACAGAGGGAAGACAGACACAGGCCGGGACAAACGCTGGCTGCACCCTCCCAAGTACTTAATAAATATAATCAGTGCCTGACATGTTAATCGTATCCCCAGCAAAAAAAAGTTGTAATTATTCAACAATTAGCAGTCAGTCACACCTCCCTACCCCAGGACTCCTTACGGGCTATGCATGCCCGTGCCACATCTTGGGTGGCTTAATCTTTATCAATCAATCCAGGGCTCCCACACGGGAGACATCTCCCGTCACGCAGGGTGCAGTCGCACCTCCACAGATCTCCAGTAGCATCTATTGATACTGGTGATGGCTCAAAGAGGCCACCACTTACGGGCTATTCATGCCCGTGCCACCTTTTGGGTGGCTTCATCTTCATCAGTCAATCAATCAGGGCTCCCAACACTTCAGGTAGAGAGCAGAGAGAGGGCAGAAAGCTCTACCCGCAAGCAACACATTTTCAGATGGACGTTAACAACTAATTTTACTAAGACTTACACATACAAACGCTGTTGACTGACAAGCAGACGACTCAAGGAGTCCTTTACAATATTACCATGGAATATGTAATTTCAATTGAATTACATGTACTTTATTTGAATTGCATGAATTTACATGAATTCATATTTAATTACCTGACACCCGAATTAAATCACATGCAATTATATTTTGGTTGCCCTGACTATACACAAATCTGGAAAGTTTTAAAATGTGTCACCCGCGCCTTAGCTGATAAGCTGGCAAGCTGAAAATTGAATATCAAAATTTCGACTCTAGATTACCTGAGATATAACTATTATTCTAAAATATGTTAATCGTGTTTGAACACAATAAATAATATACACGAAATTGTATGCTACATGCAAAACTAGAACATAAACGAATGTCAACTTTTTTCAGGAACAAATGGTATGCACCTAAATCCATTGGCTTAATTTATGTAACTACCCTATGTCAAAATGTAACAAGCAAATAAAAAAAAGTCAACCTTGACTAACTGTTATTATAAATTATTATGTTATAAACTATAAACAAATTTCCTGATGCTCTTCTGTTACAACAATTTTTTGTCCAGCAACAGGATAGCAAGAACTGAATAACACGAGGTTAATACACATCCTCGCCGGAGACGGTACACAGTTCGTTTCAGTGAGAAAAGAAACCCACGGGAAAATGTCACATTTAATTTCGGAAAGAGTTATGAATGACAGGTAGAGAGCAAAATATGACATTCGCCTCTGGGAAATGGGACAGGAACAAACAACTTTTTTTGGGCCTGTGCTCATGAGGTCACTACAGGTGACCTCATGAGCACAGTATGACAGAATCAAACACCACTCAACTATCTTTAAATTAATAAATATCAATAGGGATATTTAATATATTGAAAACATGAATAGGGATAAAAGACTGTGGCAATTAAAGCAATGCAAGAATCAACTAGAAGAACTAACGATCATTAGCATATAAAAATATCTCTAAAATCTTACAAGATGGTATAAAACTGCGTCATAAAAAAACATATCTTTTGGGTACGGCAGCACAAAGAATATTTTATCAGAAAAATAATGGAGAAGCCAGTGCCCTCGTCAGAATTCGACCATCCATAAAAGAGCAGTAGCGCATAAATAACGGAAAAAGAACAAGAGTTTCAAGGTATTGGAAAGGAGGTATGAGTATTCACCATACGAGTGAGAACTTTACAAATTTTTAAAAGAGAGACATATCACGGAAGTAATAGAGACGGAACACATGGGGTAGAGACTGCAGACATGCACAGAGAAGACAGCATTCATTGGCGGTAGTGGCCAAAAGGCCATACAAGCGTTAACGGGAGCGCCTTTTCCCCGTCCCATCTCAATTCCGTATCCTGACCCCTTCCAAGTGCTATATTGGCGTAATGGTTTGGCGCTTTCTCATGATAGTTCCCTTCCCTTCTGTAGCATCCCTGTTTGGTATAAAAGGCAGTGCTGTTATGCCGTATTTAAAATATGGTTTCTATAAATAATCTTTAATTTGTACAACCACAAAGGAAAAATTAAAGCCGAATGTACTCGAGAACTTTTGTGTTTAATCAACATATTATCTAAAGTAAATTGATTGATGAAAATTAAGCCACCCAAGAGGTGACACGGGCATGATTATCCCGTATCTGGTAGATGTTTAGAGTGAATGTGATCTTTGGTCGTGAAAGGATAGTTGCAAAACGAGGATAGATGTGCCAGCACAAGCGAGTTACGTGGTCAGCCAGACGGTTGTCAGGTTTCCCTGGTTACTAGGAGGCCTATGGTCCTTGTGTGCTAGGACCATAGGCCTCAATACTGTGTGTTGTGCGCGCTTTTGAATTTTTCACTCCTTATTTTGTGGCTGCTATCGTGGAAGAGGATACAGCTTGACAGTATTGGAGGGTGTCCTGCTGCTGGACACCTTTTTAGACCAGAAGAGTGGCAGTAGTGACGGCTTCAAGCAGGTTACTGCTGCTTTCAGGGACTCTTCAAGCTCTTATAAGGTAGTTGGTTGTTTCACATTCCAGGAGAAACTAAAGTAGTGGTTTTCTTGTAACTCTTTGGTAGAAGATGCATTCTCACTGTCAATTGAACAAGTTCCATTGTAGGGGTGTTGGTCACCAGATGTAGTGCCAGTAGTCCATGGTGGTGTTGTGTGTTCACTGGTGTTGGTGTGGGCACTGATGTAAGGGTATCACTGTGTCTGTTGCCATGTGCCTTGACTCCATGTGTTGCATCACCATGCACCAGGTTGTGACTTGTTAGACTCTTCCATGACGATCTCAGGTGCTGCAGAATACGGCGTATTTCCTCCTGGTTCTTCTAAATTTTACATGGGACATTCACAAGTTTCTTTTGTTTGCTTACTAATTTTTGGATGAGTGGGAAATTTTATATCATTCGGTTAAGGATTGCTTCCATATTAGGCGGGGTGGAGTTGTCTGGAGAAATCGGAAAAGTGTTGGGTGGTGGAGCAGTAGGGATAGTGGTTGGTTGAGTAGAAGGAAGGTTGAGTATTTGAGTCAGGGTTGGGAGGCAGAAGGGTGGGTTATGCCACAGCCCATGGTAGGAGGGTGGGTCAGTTGGGAGGCTGGATGGTGGGTTATGCCACAGCCCATGGTAGGAGGGTGGGTCAGTTGGGAGGCAGGAGGGTGGGTTATGCCACAGCCCATGGTAGGAGGGTGGGTCAGTTGGGAGGCAGGAGGGTGGGTTATGCCACAGCCCATGGTAGGAGGGTGGGTCAGTTGGGAGGCAGGAGGGTGGGTTATGCCACAGCCCATGGTAGGAGGGTGGGTCAGTTGGGAGGCAGGAGGGTGGGTTATGCCACAGCCCATGGTAGGAGGGTGGGTCAGTTGGGAGGCAGGAGGGTGGGTTATGCCACAGCCCATGGTAGGAGGGTGGGTCAGTTGGGAGGCAGGAGGGTGGGTTATGCCACAGCCCATGGTAGGAGGGTGGGTCAGTTGGGAGGCTGGATGGTGGGTTATGCCACAGCCCATGGTAGGAGGGTGGGTCAGTTGGGAGGCTGGATGGTGGGTTATGCCACAGCCCATGGTAGGAGGATGGGTCAGTTGGGAGGCAGGAGGGTGGGTTATGCCACAGCCCATGGTAGGAGGGTGGATTATGCCACAGCCCATGGTAAGAGGGTGAGTTTTGCCACAGCCCATGGTAAGAGGGTGAGTTTTGCCACAGCCCTTGGTAAGAGGGTGAGTTATGCCACAGCCCATGGTAAGAGGGTGAGTTATGCCACAGCCCATGGTAAGAGGGTGAGTTATGCCACAGCCCATGGTAAGAGGGTGAGTTATGCCACAGCCCATGGTAAGAGGGTGAGTTATGCCACAGCCCATAGTAAGAGGGTGAGTTATGCCACAGCCCATGGTAGGAGGGTGGATTATGCCACAGCTCATGGTAAGAGGGTGGGTTATGCCACAGCCCATGGTAAGAGGGTGGGTTATGCCACAGCCCATGGTAAGAGGGTGAGTTATGCCACAGCCCATAGTAAGAGGGTGAGTTATGCCACAGCCCATGGTAGGAGGGTGGATTATGCCACAGCCCATAGTAAGAGGGTGAGTTATGCCACAGCCCATAGTAAGAGGGTGAGTTATGCCACAGCCCATGGTAGGAGGGTGGATTATGCCACAGCCCATGGTAAGAGGGTGGGTTATGCCACAGCCCATGGTAAGAGGGTGGGTTATGCCACAGCCCATGGTAAGAGGGTGAGTTATGCCACAGCCCATAGTAAGAGGGTGAGTTATGCCACAGCCCATGGTAAGAGGGTGGGTTATGCCACAGCCCATGGTAAGAGGGTGGGTTATGCCACAGCCCATGGTAAGAGGGTGGGTTATGCCACAGCTCATGGTATAATGAGTCTGCAAAGAAAAAAAGGGTTATGTCAAGGACATATGTCTAGAAAAGTGGATCCACTCTTTCTAGTTAATCTCACCAAACTCTTATTCCTATTATTTTACGTACTGCAGACCCAATGCTCAGTCTCATATTTGTAAAGATTTAGCCCTGTTGGTGGGCCTGAGCCTTTAATTGTTCCCTATTGTTGTTGAAGTTGTCTTGTAATGGCGTCTGTGGACTCCGACAGCTATGGCGTCAGTGTGGTCCAGTAGCACTACTCCACCTCACAGTACACTTTATTTAAACTCCAGCAGTTGGGACTCTTGGCTCAACCTTGATGACAGGCGAACGTCTGGACACCCCCTCCGCCTGAGAGCCACAAGGGATCACGTTCCGTTTTGCGATTTTAGATTATGATACCAACGTTTGGTATCCCTATTTAACAGTCCGGATTGTTATGATGCCTGGCGCAAATTTCGTCTTGGGGTCGCAGGATTGTTTATAGATTTTAAACGTTTTATGGCTGGTTCTTCGGACAGTGTGATGGTGTCCGGCACCAGCTTGGCTGAGAGGTGCCAGGAGTGGGTGGGTCTTAGTGGGCTCTTGATGGGCTTCTTTTGTGCCCTCAGAAGTGGTGGGAGGCTGGCTGCTGCTCTGTCAGAGGGCACTGGATGACTTTTGCGTTTTAGTTGGAGGCCGAGTTTTTTATTTTGTTACCCAGTGTTCTCTGTGTGGGGTGGGGTCGGTGCTTGACACCCCGAGAGACTCCTGGGGCTTCCCAATCACCTACCTGCCCATCTGTGGGTTTATTGGCCGTGAGGCATATTAGCTTCCGCTGATGAGAAACCTTCATTTCGCCTTTAGGTTGTGCAATTAATCCTTCATGGGTATGCCAGTGCTCATCTTATCCCACGATCGTCGTCGCCCCTAAATCATCAGTCGATTTGGTCGTCGTGTACAATGGTCTTGTACGAAATCGTAGCTGGTCGTCGCCCAGACCACCCTATGTTTATCGCATACCGCAGACCATTCCTTCTACCAGTTTTGATTATGCTAGCCCAAGAGTCTGGCCTCCAACTTTGGGCAGAATTATTCTCTCTTAGAGTACAGATATAAGAGAGATCGAGCATGGAAGCTAACTCTCCAGGCGTGTCACTTTTTTTTTTATAATTGTACTTTACTTACCTAGGAGAACCACACAGTGCAATTTTAAAAATAAAATGTAATTTGGGTATCATCATAACTTATTAAGAACGTGAGCAGCTATTCAACATGGGCAAGATAGTGATCAACTTAAATATTTAGTACTTTTCTCGGTTAAAACATTTTTAAAATTATATATTTGTCTGATTATCTTTAATACTTACTCTAATCCACCACTCTCCTCACTTCAAAAGCTTCATTATTGTTTGAGGTGGTTAACAGAGTCATTTACAGGGATTTTGTGTGTGGGTCTGCCCGAGGAGTGCCAGTAGACACCGTGGTGATGGCTGAGTGTTGGGGCACCACCACGCTCTTAGCTCAGTGCCACGCTGATGGCAAGTGGCATCCTTATGGCAGCCACCAGGAGCAGGCTCCTGCCTCACGACACCTTTGTCAGGCTCCAGCCATCAACTCTCCTGGTAAGTCACTTCCCTTAATATATATATATATATATATATATATATATATATATATATATATATATATATATATATATATGCAGAAAATCCACAGAGAAATATCCTTTAATTATAGAAATTAGAGAAATTATATTTCTCTGTGGATTTTCTGCATAAAATGATCAGTGTTTTGTGATCGTCAATTGCATATATATATATATATATATATATATATATATATATATATATATATATATATATATATATATATATATATATAAGTTAAACACCGTCTCAGTTCAGAGTAATATGTAAGCTATTAAACTGCAGAAAATGTTGGTCTGAACTTGGCCAGTCACCGAGTTGTCACAGGGACTAGGAGTAGCTTTAATAATTTAAGTATATATCATGTTGCGCAGTGAACTTATTTATTTGTTTTAATGTTGCGGATCAAGTTCAATAGTTTTATTTTAATAATATAATATTTTAGTAAGCGGAAGTTTACTGAATGTAAATATTGTATTGTAATATTTCTCTAGGTTACCAAAGGTGACATAAAATCCAAAACTAGTCTTATACTATTTGAAATTAGCTTTTACCCCAGAGTCAATTTCAAGATTATTTAAAGTGAATATTAAGGGTAACGTGTATTAACATTCCCACGGAACTCTTGCAGAGTGTGGTATTCGGTCAAGGCACACGCGCCCTCCAGGCCAGGGCAGCATTCAGTTGGTGGCCCTATCACAGTGGAACTGGCTGGTGGGCATCTTCATCAGGGAGAAGTTTCGTTGCACCGCCACCCTCATCACCCCTGAATATCTTCTTACTGCTGCTCACTGCATCACCAGGTATGTTGTCACATAACGACCCGGCACGACTGCACGCCAAACAACGCACCTCCACACCAGTCTTTTATCAACCCAATAGTTCCTCTCCAGAACTCTTAATGTTTCACCAGTAATCCATCGCAAAATTCACCTGCATCGATCTTCTTCAGTAATCAAAAGACCTCTAAGTAATTTATCACTTAATAATTTTACACTGTATCTCTCCTGGCTGTTGTCGGATGCTTTAATGTCAAGAACCTCCATCACATCAAAAAATATCCCATTAAAATCCCCAAATACGATAATAAAATTAAGGTATAAATCCCATTCTATGTTCCTTATATCCTCTATGTCCTTTGGAAGAAATTTACACAATTGCCAAGATGGTATAACAATGGTATAACATTGATCAATGAGGGTCAAGATAACACAGTTCTTTGTGCAGAGCCGTTTATGGCCTCCACGTGGTGAACACACACAATTACACACAGAAATCCTATGTGATTTCTGTGTGTAATCAAGTAAGGGCGAAGAGGTAGAACAGCTTATTGATAGAGCTCGAGTGCATGGGGGGAATTGTGTAAATCCCTGGTTTGTGTCTCGGAGAGGTTGTAGGATCCAAGTAAGTTCATTAGAACTTCTGGTTGCAGTTCTTTTACCATGTCGTAGCTCAGTCGATTAAGGCAGCGTCTGGGATCCTTTCGGACGCAGGTTCGAACCCTCGTCACGGCCCTTGTGGATTTGTTCATTTAATGCACCACGCTATTCTGATTTCCGTGTGTAACACAGCGTATCTCCGTATTGTCAGCCACGTCTCGTGGGATATAGCTTCAATTCTCCTATAATTTAGATGTGGTCCTTGTTAATGAAAGAGTTTGTCCCGATCCCACATCAGTGTACTACTACCTATTGGAAATATGCCGAAGATGTGTGAAGTTCTAGCCTTTGTGAACGCAATCGAGTTATAGTAAATTGCATTTCGAGCGTCACTTTGCTTGTATTGTTTGTGCTGATTTTAAATTGGTGATTCTTAAGTTCTGCAGACACTATAAAACAGAACAGTACCTTATTAAATTAAAGCTTAAAGAACACTCATCACTTCAAGAGGAGAGGCAGAAACTTAGGGAGTGATAGCTTACCTCCCTTGCCACATGAATTTATTAAACAAGTAGAACTTGTTTACCCTACACCGTCTATCTTCTCTCTTAGTGACCTATATACCCTGTGCAAAGAGTCTTACAGTTCTTGAGATGGAGGACTTGGTGCATTATCTTCATCAACTATTGCTTCACCTAATAGTCATCCACTCAATGCCCCTTCCTTCTATCCCGCAATTAATATTTTTCCTCCTCCACTAGCTATCTTAATACGACCTAATATATTGCGTCTGCCAACTTCTGGCAAAAAAGTCAGCAGCTGTAAACTTCTTGTTCTATTCCCTATGAGTCACTGGAAGATATCATCCAATACTTGCCGGGTATTGCTCCTGAGGGTCACAACCCTCAGGAGCACCCATCGGCAATAAGAAGAGGATGAATGGTACTATAACGGAAGACCCACCCTTATCACAGTTATCGAGCATTCAATACATATATTTCCACATAATCTTGTACCACGTATAAATATGCCTTTTCCATCATGACATTATCTTCCGTAATCACACGTTTCACCACCTTTACACTTTTCTTCAAACACGTTTTGACTAAATATCCGGATTACCCGGATTGTGGTTTTAGACGTTATCAATACATTAAAACTTTGTTTTATAACAGTTATGTATATGACATATTTTTTGGAGAGCCATCTACATAGCTCCCTGGAGCCTGCATGCTCCTATGAGACCAGGAGAGCTTGAAGATCAGGCATCTGCCTAAAACCATCTACTTGAGAAAAAAACGAACTGAAAGGTAATGTAAAACAAAATAAGCTTCAGTTTGAAAAAATAAATGCAACATGAGATAAACAAGATAAACGATCGTTGCCGCGAGAGAGCAACCCCTAACCTTGAAGTGCCTGACTGACACGAGGTTATTATCATCAAAGTGTTGGCTACAGCTAGAAGTAATGATTCGTGATGGGATATTGATTAATTTTATTCCATTTGTTTCATGATTGGGTTTTGCACCATTACCATTGTGTTCCTTCTCTTCCCTAGTGAAGCGTCAACAAGGTCAGAGATAGAGACAGAACATAGGAGTAGTATTTCTGCAGAGATAACCTGAGACAACTCACCATGTCTTGGGAATATCTCACAGATGTCCCACGGCCGGCTTACCAGGAGAAAGAAATCTTAAGGAAGCCAAAGAGAAGGTGCGACGAGACCCCCGAAGAAATCTAGAGAGTGGTCGTAGGGGATCCCAGAAGTCCTATCCATCAGCAAGGGTTAGCAGACAGGATGAACCCAGGACAACTTCCCCTTTTCCCTCCAGTTTCATGCAGAGCCACTTTCGCTCCCATAGGTGCCTCAGGCAATCGTTTTAATTAAAAGCCGCCACAGAAAATCATACAAAAGGGCGAACCAAAAATAAAGAAGAGAACCTAGGTTCTCTTCTTCAGAACTTCAGAGAGCTCTGGCTCTTTGGTCCCACCTCTCAACTGTCAATCAAGTGATGTTCAGATTCCTGAGCCTACTGGGCTCTATGATATCTACATTTGAAGCTGTGTATGGAGTCAGCCTCCACCACATCACTGCCTAGTGCATTTCATCTGTTAACTACTCTGACACTGAAAAAGTTCTTTCTAACGTCCTTGTGGCTCATTTGGGTACTCAGTTTCTATCTGAGTCCCCATGCTCGCATACCACCCGTGTTAAACAGTTTATCTTTATCTACCCTGTCAATTCCTCTTAGAATTTTGTAGTTAGTGATCATATCTCCCTTTACTCTTCTGTCCCCCAGTGTTGTGAGGTGCATTTCACTTAGCCTTTCCTCGTAACTCATGCCTCTTTGTTCTGGGACTAGCCGAGTGGCATACCTCTGGACTTTTTCCAGCTTCGCCTTGTGCTTGACAAGGTACGGGCTCCATGCTGGGATCGCATACTTCAGGATTGGTTTTATATATGTGTTATACAAGGTTCTGAATGATTCCTTACAGTGGTTCCTAAAGGCAGTTCTAATGTTATCCAGTCTCGCATACGCCGCAGATGTTATTCTTTTCATGTGGGCTTCAGGAGACATGGTTGGTGTGATATCATCTAGATCCTTCTCTCTGTCCGTTTCATGATGGACTTCATCTCCCATTCTGTTTCCTGTGTCTGGCCTCCTGTTTCCACTGCCTAGTTTCATTACCTTACATTTACTCGTGTTGAACTTTAGTAGCCATTTATTGAACCATTCATTCAGTCTGTCTAAATCATCTTGTAGCCTCATACTATCTTCCTCCGTCTTAATCCTCCTCATAATTTTTGCATCATCAGGAATCAATGAGAGAAATGATTCTATACCCTCTGGTAGATCATTTACATATATCAGAAACAGTATGGGTCCAAGGACTGAATTCTGCGGGACTCCACTGGTGATGTCTCGCCAATCTGAGACCTCATCCTCCACAGTGACTCGCTGTCTTCTGTTACTTAGATACTCCCTTATCCAATGGAGTACCTTCCCTTTCACTCCTGCCTGCATCTCTAGCTTTCGCACTAGTCTCTGGTGTGGTACTGTGTGAAAGGCTTTCTGGCAATCCAAAAATATGCAGTATGCCCACCCCTCTCTTTCTTGCCTGATTTTTGATGCCTGATCGTAGAATTCAATCAATCCTGTGAAGCATGACTTGCCATCCCTGAAACCATGTTGGTGTTGTGTCACAAAGTTGCTTAGCTCTAGATGTTCCACTAGCTTTTTTTGCACAATTTTCTCAGTAACTTGCATGGTATGCAAGTTAGGGGCACTGGCCTGTAGTTTGGTGCCTCCTGTCTATCCTCCTTCTTGTATATCGGGACTACATTTGCCATCTTCCAAATTTTTGGCAGTTCACCTGTTACCAGTGATTTGTTATACACCATGGAGAGTGGCAGGCACAGTGCTTCTGCTCCTTCCTTTAGTATCCATGGCGATATTCAATCTGGGTCTATAGCCTATGTCACATGTAACTCAAGCAAAAGCTTCCTTACATCCCCACTGGTAATCACAAATTCCTCTAGTTGTGCTTGGTGTGTTCTCACCTATTTGTACTCACCTATTTGTGCTTACCGCCTGCAAGCACAAATAGGTGAGTTGAGCTTTGTCTCTTTGGTCCGCCTCTCAACTGTCAATCAACTGGTGTACAGCTTCCCGAGTCTACTGGGCTCTATCATATCTACATTTGAAACTGTGTATGGAGTCAGCCTCCACCACATCACTTCCTAGTGCATTCCATTTACTAACTACTCTGACGCTGAAAAAATCTTTCTAATGTCTCTGTGGCTCATTTGAGTACTCAGTTTCCACCTGTGTCCCCTTGTTCGTGTCCCACCCGTGCTGAAGAGTTTGTCTTTGTCCACTTGTCAATTCCCCTGAGAATTTTGTAGGTGGTTATCATGCCTCCCCTTACTCTTCTGTTTTTCAGGGATGTGAGGTTCAGCTCCTTTAGCCTTTCCTCGTAGCTCATTCCATTCCATTCCTCGTAGCTCATTCCACAATCGTGTGTGTGTGTGTGGGGGGGGGGGGGGATTGGCGGTGTGATCTTTTGACTCTAAGGTGACAGAAGCTAGTACCTACATGAGCCGTATGTGTCAAGATTCTTTACATTCTTTAGCTTGTATCCAAGACTACTTGTTATACTAAAAACACTGTACACACAAAAACACAAACACTGGAGTGTGTGTATGGGGAGGTTAGGGGGAGAGATATTGGAAGGAAGGGGGAGAGGCACAGAAGAGATCTATTTGTGTATGCTTAAGGGAGGAGAAGGAGGGTGAGAGATTGGAGGTATGGTCAGTTGTCCAACAGTTGTCAACTAATTGTCAAAGGCCCCTTTCCCATGCCGTTTCCCATGCAGGGGGGAGGGGGAAGTGTTTCGAGAAAGATGGTGTGGGAAAGGGGGGA